TACGGGGGGGGTCGCTGCAGCTTTTTTCCCGAAAAACGGCCGTTTTGGGGACAACAGAGTAATGTCACCATGTCACTCTGCATCCTCCGCCCTCAGCCGCCTGCCTCCCTCTCCGGCTGTGTCTAGACTGGCCAGTTTTTCGGGAAAATCAGCCGCTTTTCCGGAAAAACTTGCCAGCTGTCTACCCTCGCTGCTTGAATTTCCAGAAAAGCACTGACGATCTCATGTAAAATCATCAGTGCTTTTCCGGAAAAACTATGCTGCTCCTGTTCGGGCAAAGTCTTTCCGGAAAACCGTTCTGGAAAAGGGCCACTGTAGACAGCACAGTAGTGTTTTCTGCAAGAAATCCCCGATCGCGAAAATGACAATCGGGGCTTTTTTGCGGAAAAGCGCGTCTAGATTGGCCACGAACGCTTTTCCGCAAAAAGTGCTTTTCCGGAAAAGCGTCCTTCCAATCTAGACACGCTTTTCCAGAAATACTTTTAACAGAAAACCTTTTCCGTCAAAAGCATTTCCGGAAAATCATGCCAGTGTAGATGTAGCCTCAGTGTTTGATTTACCCTGTTCTTCCAGCGGGACGGGGGTTACGCAGCCTCCCACTACCCCCTCCCTGGTGCTCTGGGTGGGGATGGGAGAGACACGTTCTCTTCCCCCCCCCCCATACTCCAGAAGAGTGGGAGCCACATATCCTCCACCCTCGCCACACTCCTAGCCCCCTCACACGCCCCCTTAGCCAACCCCACACCTCCAGTCTGCTCATTCATAGCCCCCCATGCTGAGACCCTGTGCCCCCAACCCCTTCACGCACCCCCTCCACTGAGATCCTGCACCTCCAGATTGCTTCTGCCCCCTATAGAGAGACACCTCTTCCCAGTCCACTCCTGCCTCATCCACCCTGGAGAGACACCTATCCCCTGCCTGCTCCTGCCCCCTGCCCCCCAGCCAAACACCCTGCCCCCAGAGAGGGGGGGGTTGGTGAGTGTGTTACAATTTAGTTTACTTTTAGTGTAAAATAACAGTTTAACAGATGTGACATTTTGGACTTTCTTCTGCTCTCACTGAAGTCGATGACAAAACTTACAGTGACTTTTGGTAGGATCAAACTTTTGGTTCTTCTGCTAATCAAAATGTGAATTCTATTCTATACAGGGAGTAGTCTACACTTTTGTTGAGGCTAGGAAATAGAAATCGATCATTCATGGCTATGGGTGGTATGCCTTGGGAGAGAGAGAATAATGCATCTATGCAGTTTCAGCATTTTGCATATCAACAGAGTAAGAACATACATAAGAACCACCATACTTGGTCAGACCAAAGGTCCATCTAGCACAATATGCAGTCTGCTGACAGTGGTCAATGTCAGATGCCCTAGAGGGAGGGATCACAATATGTAATCCTCACGTGATCCCTCCCCTGTCACCCACCTCCAGAGAAACAGGTTTGGGACACCATTCCTACTCATCCTGGCTAATAGTCATTGATGGATCTAACCTCCATGAATCTATCTAGCTCTTTTTTTAACATGGTAAAGTTCTAGTCTTCACCGCATCCTCTGGCAAGGAGTTCTACAGGTTGACTGCACTGAGTGAAGAAAAACTTCCTTTTGTTTGTTTTAAACCCTAAGCCTATTAATTTCATTTGGTGACCCTTAGTTCTTATATTGTAGGAATAAATAAATAACTTTTCCTTATTCACTTTTTCAATACCAGTCATGATTTTATAGACCTCTATCATATCCCCCCTTAGTCTCCTCTTTTTTAAGCTGAAAAGTCCAAATCTTTTTAGTCTCTCTTTATATGGGACCCATTCCAAACCCCTAATCATTTTTGTTGCCCTTTTCTAAACCTTTTCCAATGCAAATGTATCTTTTTTGAGATGAGGCGACCACATCTGTACACAGTATTCAGGATGTAGGCATACCATGGTTTTATATATAGGCAATAAGATATTTTCTGTCCTATTCTCTGTCCCTTTTTTAATGACTCCTAGCATTCTATTTGCCTTTTTGACTACCTCTGCATACTGAATGGATGTTTTCAGAGAACTATCCACAATGTCTCCAAGATCTCTCTGTTGAGTAGTTGTAGCCAAATTAGTCCCCATCATATTGTATATATAGTTGGGATTATTTTTTCCAATGTGCATTACTTTACATTTATCGACATTAAATTTCATGTGCTATTTTGTTGCCCAATCACTTAGTTTTGTGAGATCTTTTTTGAAGCTCTTCACAGTCTGCTTTGGTGTTAACTATCTTGAACAATTTGGTATCATCTGCAGATTTTGCCACCTCACTGTTTACCCCTTTCTCCTGATAATTTATAAATAGGTTGAATAGGATGGGACCCAGGACAGACCTTTGGGGGACCCCACTAGTTACCTCTCTCCACTGTGAAAACTTACCATATAGTCCTATCCTTTGTTTCCTGTCTTTTAACCAGTTACCATTCCACAAAAATCCCTCTTATCCCATGACAACTTACTTTAGAGCCTTTGGTGAGAGACCTTGAGTATCTACTACTACAGTGGATCTGATAATTACTGATCTGGGTGTGTGCAGACACGAGTTTAATAGCATCTGAAGCAGAGATTTCCCACAAGGTAGCACTTTCCTGCTTTTGGTATCCCATAGTTCAGTGCGATTCGTACTTTGGACATGCTGTTCTCCATTCTGTATGCTCATGGAGATGTCTGTCTGTCTTATCTTCAATGCAGATGAGGCTGGGGGTGTTTCCTTAATTCTGTCACCCTTGTCTGTGCGGGAAGGGGAGGGTTGGCGAGCAGATCTCTGACTTTTCAGTGCTTTATCTGTGGTTCAAGCAGAGGCTGTGTGTCTGACTAAACAATGAGTATCCTCCTCCTTCCCCCCTTCCCTATGTCTGGAGAATCACAGGTCTGATGATACATACCCAAGGGGGGAAGGACAGAACCAGGCAGACCGTTTTATCAAATAAAAAATATTTATTTATAACAGTGATGAATTGATAGTATTTATTCTGCGATTTTTAATAGACAGTGTTAATAATGAATTTACAGTATTTATTATATTTATTCTGTGATTTCTAGTTAAACGTGTCAGAGATATAAGGATGGGAATGGCAAGGGGAATAGTCTCTATTCTAAAAATATCCAGCTACACTAATTAAATAACAGTGATAACTACAAACTCTATGTACTACCCAAAACAACTACAACACTAAGCTTATACAACAAGAAAAAATCAAATCATACATACCAACTTACACAGCACACGGAACATTTCAAAGATATCGGTTCGGTTGCGAAGGCCTTGGTTATGCCCGAGACTCGGGGGAGGTGGCTGGTCGGTTGATCAGGCCGGCAGCACTTTCAAGTATACGGGAAGGCACACACATGGTAGTACGTATGTTGCGAAGACCTCCTCGAGTGAACTGTGCGATGGGTATTTATCCCCAAATCTGCACATCGCTTTCCCGCGCTTGCATTTTACCATATATGGCCCAATGGTCACCAAGTGGGGGGTCTGTGTCCCAGGGGTTGGGCCGAAACTGAGCAGGTTTCATGCGACCAGGTAAGCCCCACAGTTCTCACGACAAGGTGATGGGTGGGAGAGTCTGAGGCTATTTTCCCCTTTTCACACCTTCCCTTTTTCTAAAGGCAATG